GGGGGAGGCATACTCAAACGAACCACCAGAAACTGGCTCCAACCGGGTTGAGGGGTATTGCAATCGGCTTGCATGCGGATTGTTGCTCGGCCGCTGGCCTCGTGCGATGTTAGACCAGGAAAGGGGCCCATCTACAGCGTTTTCTCAGCTGCGATGGAGGTCAAAGACGCGAAAGAGGCTGCTTGAATTCGACTACGAATTGTCGAAACGTCTCAGAACCCACATTGATAAGCCCATGAACCGGAAATGGTGGGCCCTTCACATGAACGAACGTCAACTGGCCGGCTTCTTGTCGTGACACCCCTCCGGGCACGGGCTGTCCGTTTTGGTCCAAGGCCAGAGTGTCGCTCACAAGTATGTTCAAGAAGAAGTAGTCTCGTACATGCCGATGCACATGGCACGCTGCCCCTGCTTCCACCTCAAAGGCCCAAACACAAACCAATTCGTTCTCGATCAAGAGGTCAGTCCCAACATCCGTTCGAACACCGCGATCAAGGCCTTCAGGTCCTCTGGAACCAATACATGCACACCCATAAACCTGCACGGCATAGAAGGTGCCGTCTACACCTTGCAACCTCACTTCATCCGTTTGGAAAGGATCCCAGCAAGCATGCAACTTGCCCTTAGCAGTGTGGAGGATCGAACTTGAGACCTCCTCCTGTAAAGTGCCACCAGCGGACATGAGAAGAAGTGGCCCGTCCAGTAACGTTATACTGGTGGGCGCGGCGCTGGGATCAGTGCTGGGCTGCAGGCGGTACACCGTGCATCTCTCGTTCTGCAGCACAACATTCGCCATGGTTTGCCATGTGCTTCGACTACTTGGGTTTCAGCGTTCTCTGCTTAGCCACTGTGCGTCCCCGAACATGCGACCCTTGCTGAAGCTTTTAAGCCAGTGCTGCCCTCGTGTAAGCTGGGAGGTGGACTATGGTGGATTCTCACAACCTGAATCAGATCAGCCTGGGCGGTGGACAGGAGCCAGATGCTCACCACTCAGATGCAGAGATGTACCGAATTCTGAATGAATATTCTGTGTAACCAACTGGCTGACGTGTGCACTCTTGGATGCTTGCACTGGCAGCCTTGACACCCGCCTCACCTGAAGCAGCTCTACCCACAAGACATGGTGTATTTCCTGCTTTCTCAATCAGGAGTGCATGTTCACCTCAAGCCACAATGCTTCACAAACCAGCCAACCAACCAACCCACCAACCAACAAAACGAAATACAAGCAACGACACACAACCAACCAAACCCAACCAAATCCAACAAACCAACCGACCAATGCGCGCAAAGTTGCGCTTGAGCAAGCTGCAGAAGTCGCCCCAAGTCTCCTCTGGATAGGTTCCCCAATTCGGTCGCGCCTGCTCCGATCAGCGAGGCTCAACGACGAGCAGTCTTCAGATCGTTCCGTATTCCCAAGCTCCACACTACCCTGCTGTTGCTGGCCCGACCTTTCGCAGCACGTACGTGGCCGAGATGATTTGCAAAATCTGTGTTTGGCTGAGGCGGTTGAGCTGATCGCGACGAGGACTCTGACCTGCAGTCTGCCGCTTTGGACGTCGACTAGATTGAATCGCATTCTTATTCGACGTATTTCGCCTCCAGCAGTGCTCAATATCGCCGCACGTTGCCGAGGTGGGCAGCGAGTTGTGCACAGTTCCCACTACTCTCCGATCTCTGATGAGGCATGATGAAACAAATGGAAAAGCAAAGCATGTGCAAATTGTCAGTTGAGATGCGGCTGGAGGCAAAGCATCTACCCAGAAGATTGGGCAGCGGTTGCAGCTCCTGTGCATAAGAGAATGTGTTGTTTGCCTCATGCATGTAGTGCATGATGTATGTGGCATTAGTAGCAGCATATGCATGCAAAAACTATGCCGACAGTGCATGCGAATAATTTCTTATCGCGGTGGATTCATACTGACTCATGAGTTATGAAGCTATGTGACGGATGCTGATACCTGGCACAGGCACGAATGCTGGAACACACTAACATGCATCCTTGAGACAACGGCAGACGAAAGTGGTACAACACAAATAGCCAGGCCAACTCTTTGATTCTCTCGGTGCATCCTGTCTATTAGCATCTAGCACCGACTGTGGACAAGCCATGACCCGTGAACGGAGAGCATGCGGCCGTTCCATGTTCGAGGACTCCGACATCGGAATTCGGCCAAGGGTAGTGCGCTCGTTTACACGTGAATCTGGCTGTGGCCTTGTTCCAATCCACTAGCTGACTGCCCGCAATGCGGCGATCGTTTTTCCAGACTCTAAGAGGCCCGTGAAGTGAAAGGAAAGTAAAATTAACCTTTTCATACCACGCATAGCCTTTTTGTGCATGTATGTCCATCTGCGGCATCTCTACACCTACATATTGTAGGGCTCTGTTGACAGGCAAATGCCTATGCTGAGGAATGGAATGACAGACATACATACGACTTTGTATCTAGAGTTGCTTCTGCAAGAATGCAATGAAATGTGGCCAGGCATTTCTCGAGTTCGCTGCACAGGCCTGGGCCAGCTCTGAACAAGTGTCGTGAATGGCGTCGATGAGCTGTCCGCCACCCTCACCACCTTCCTTGTCCGGCACCTGAAGACTTCCAGGTAACCAGCCCTAGTCAAAATGACGAGGAGTGGGTCCACACGGCGTTCTGGGAACCTTCAGCCAGCTCTTGCTCTAAGCCCTGATTGCTGGAGTGCCACGGACTGAGACACGCCCTCTCCACAGTTCACGTTCTGCAGCTTCCTTGGTCTTGAGGTCTGCATGTCACGTGGACTGAAAGGGATTCAACATGAGCGCAAGTATTGCTTCGATTGACTGGGCTTGTTCGAAACTCGAGTAGCTTCCATACCCAACTGCCCAGCGACCTCTCGAGCACTGCCACCTTGTTGCGTAGGTCCTCAGAAGCAAAATTTCGGATTGCAGAAGGCTGGCGGCTGAGGCCAGCCGCGGCTAGCCCCAGCTGTCGAGCCAGCCGTGGGCGACAGGCTAGAAGCACAGCATGACAACCCTTCATTGCCTGCAGAGGTCCATTCACTACATACACACAATCTTTGTTGACAGCATCCCCCGCATTCCGTCGCGGCTGTCTAAAACCGCGCCGTGCGTCCCTCTCGCACTCGTCGGAGGACTCAGACATCCCGGTTCTACTTTTTGGACCCGGCTCCAGGTCCTTAACTCTGCGGTATTGGCATGTCTGTGTCTAAGAGGCTTCATTGGCGCCGGAACCAGCCGCGACATTCTCAGGCGCCTGCCTCCAAAACAAATTTGAGGTATCCCTTGCGATGGATCTCGATGCTGTTGAAGAACCTATGGCACCTCTGCATGTCGGGTAGTCCGTGCATGCTCGGGGGGTTCGGCGGCCGGCTGCCTCCCGATTCCGGCTGCACATGGCATAGGAAGCAGAAGTAGAAACTAGCTTCTGAATCCGGCAACAGCTTCATGTCTCCATGTATTGAGACATCACAATTCCACATTGGAGACATGTACTACAGGGCTTCGAGAATGCATCCATTCGACCAGTCAGGCGGGCACAAGGTCTAGCTGCTAAGCTTTCTCCGCCAAGTTTCTTTGGAAGGCTGACGGCCAGAAGTGTTGTCGCCTGACACCATCTGGGACACCGTGAACGAGACATGCAAATGGAGGCCAATGACGCCAACGGCATTATCGTCCCTTGGAATAGAATTTACGCTGCTGCAGCTGTGCACAAGTAACCTGCCACCGACCTGCAAGTTTCATAATGCAGGACTCCTGACCGCGAGGACTAAACTGCAAACTAAGACACACCCGCCCTCCGGACCCCACATTTGCTGCCCGGTGACAACCACGCTTACGATTGTGGTCATGATGTGCATAGGTTTTTCCATCAGTGTAATCAAGGAGTCCGGGCTGAAGGCCTGGCGCGAACGAGGGCATGATCTGACATGAAGACGACGGATACTCGGCAACTTCTCCGAACAGGGCATGCTGCTCATGCTCTCCGCCTTGTGTGCTTGGATTCCATGGCCAAATCCGCAACAAAGAATGAACAGGGCAAACCTGGAGCACCACAATCCAGGCGCTCAATGCACTCACCACAGGTGCAAAAGTCTTGAGTTTGAGTAATAAACAATCACCACCGTATGCGGCTTATTGGAATGTGTACGCTGTGTGAGGAAGTCTACAATGACCATTCGACATGAATCACGTGCAAGTTGGGGTCTTGCCGGTACCAATCAAAGTACCTAACGCTTTTCGTCCTCAGGTGTCCTCCGGATTTTCTTGTGCTTGTTGGAGAATGCAAGCGGGAACTTCACACTGAATCTTCAAAAGCAGGCAGCACGAAGAGCAGCAATCGGCTTAGGGCCAGCTCATCGGTCGTCATGCTTCCTGCAATCCTCCTGCCAAGTGCCATGGGATCATTTCTTAAACTCCGGTTTCGACTTCCCCTCCAAACCCTGGCAACAGCGGTGCTTGCCATGATAGGTCCGGCCCGCAACATGGATCACTGAGGTCCTGAAGTCAACAGCGGTGACTTTACGAGTTGCCACGAAGATCAGCTGCAACGGGATGGAGATGTACGCGACGCAAATCGCCATGTCCAGCCTGATTCTCAGCAGTTTCTCCACGCCGCGTTTTTTGCTTGCGGTGCGTGTCTTACTTGCGTGACACAGGAAAACAGGGAAACTCGCACATGATGCTCCTGCAAAACTGCTTCGGACAAGCGCTCGTCGCTCGTGCAAGTCAAGCTGAACAAACCCAGTGCAAGTGCCGGAAAAAGAGGCAAGCTGCCATGGTTTCAGGGATGGTGCTTCCATGGCTCCAAACGAAGCTGGAGATCCGGCTCCAAGACAAGCTGAATGCTGCAGAGGCAAAAAAGACATGTCGATGAGTGAAATTACTCCAGGAGCCACTGGAGGACCATCTCTTGGCAACTCCGAAAGTACGGCAACTCCCACTTCACAAAGCCAAGACTGCCTAAGCTGCAGCCAACACAGCATCAAGACCACGCAGGTCTGGCCGAGACCACTCTGGAGATCCTTCAAAGCAGCGAATGCCCCGTGACTCAATGTCAAGGCATCGGGAGTTCGAAAGCTCGATTCTTGGCCTTGGACTGCCACAGACCGCAAACAGACTCAGGTAAGGAGATGCAAAGCCGGCCGCTGAACATCTACACAACGCAGCGCGATTCAACTCCTCATCGCTCACTTCCAGAATGCTCAGGTTCGACAAAACCTGCCATCCGCACGTTTGGCCCGTTGGGGAGTGTAGCATGTAAGCCTGCAAAGCCTCTGAAAGCTGAACCCACGCGGCCTTGGCAAAGTAGCCTTCGCTGTCCCCTGCTGCTGCACAGCTCAGGGCTCTGTCGGGCATATCCTGCCACCGGGCACGCGAGAATTCTATGCAAATGCAGCCCAAGGATAGTCTGATTCCAAAAGCGCAAGATATCGTAGTCGGAGTTCAGCGTCCGACATACGCCTTTGCAACTTCACAGGTCACGTGCTGTGGGCTCCAACTGGCATCCGCCAAAATTGCAGAACGTGCCGGCCCTGCTGCCCGATGCCGCGGGGCGACGGACCCGGCGCTTCCCAGGCTGTGTGCAACTGGCCAAGTCAGGGCTGGACTGTTCAGATTCTCTCGTGAAACCCAACGAATCAATTGCTCTTGGTTTACCATCTGCACCCCCATGCTGTCTCGAACTGTTGCGGCATTGCTGCGCGCTTCCTGTAAGATCCTGAACAGCTCACACGCTAAGGATGCGACTGCTGCGGGGTGTGTCTGGCGTGTTCAAGCCTGCGAAGAAGAAGGCTGGGTTAGTCTGTCCTTCAAGCGCTGTACACGCAGCTGCAGCCTGGTAAAGGACGCTGTGAACCTAAAACATCCCAAACGTAGCCTTGCAAGTTTCATCAATGCGCCTGAAGCACGTTGGTCCGAGCTGCCGGGTGAGTCGGGCTGTCAGGACAGTTCAACGGCGTGTAGGCAAAGGATTCCGTGGCACTGCCATACTGCAAACGTGCACCCACGACAATGCACATCTGTGTCTTCGGATTCGGGCTGATGTTCTCAGGGTTAAGATCGGGGCCTGTGTCAACAGCATGAAGTCTCATGAAACAAGCTCAAAGCTGCGGGTGTCTTCTCAACTGCCGGCAAGCTCTTCGGAAAATGTGCCAGCAAAACGCTGCCAGTGGCAGCTGAGCCCGTCAGGCAACTTGCCAGGCTGTCGAACCTGCACATGAAGGGTTGGGGGTGTTGGGGCTGTTGCACTAGATCCGCAGGCATGGATTCCCCATCGAGCAGACGGTCCCTCCGCGCCGCACGGCGAGAAAGAGGGATGCGTGAGTATGCGTAGCATAAATAGAATGTAAAAGCCATGTACAATCACAAATGTCATGAGAAGGAGCCGATACACTCGATGGCGACACGCAGTGCCAGCAGAGTGAATGTGGGCATGTCACCGGTGATACAACCTGGGAAGCTTGGGAAGACAACGTCATCACGCCTTGGTTGCCACTCGCCTGCCTTCCTGCCAGCCTACCTACCTGGCCACATGTGTGTTGTATTGGAAGAGATTAGCGCATCAGTCCGTGGATGTCATGTCACTGCGAGACTGCTAGACCATTAGCGGGCTTGATTGCTGTTGTCCATACGAACTTCTCGCTCACAATCCTGGCTTTGCTTCGGCATCCTCAACGACATGCAAATTCGTCCGGCTCGGTGACCTTCCCTCATCCAAACAGAAAAATGCAGCTTCGGGCTCTGACTGCGGCGAAAACATGGGACTGTCTTCTCGGATTTGGAAGCGTTGCTCCGTTGCACTCAATGTCAATCAAGCCCCAAGCCCCAAAGTGCCTCTTGCTGGCCATCCCGATGGTTGGCCGCCGATCTGCATCGCGAACGAGCAAGTACCTTCACTCCCAAGTTACTACGAACGCTTGCTTTCACATCTGGTCTTGGGAGCTATGGAGATGTCGCTCAAGGATTGATGCTGCTTTGATCTGCTTTGGAGACCCCTCAATCGCGAGCCACATGGAGCGACATCGAAAATCTCCTGAAATCCCATAGAAACCCCCGTACATCCCTGACCTTTGGGAGCTGGGTCTCAGCCAGTGGCCGGAGTTGATGCAAATGCGGCTTTGGCGCTGAGACGTTTGGATTTCTTGGTTGTTCTTGCTCGACATGGTTTCGCCTAGGCTTGGCTTGAAGAAATATTGCTGGAGCAATTTGCTCATCGCCATGAGCAAGCTGTACACTGCTGAGGCGACGGCTTGCGGCATGCACAGAACAGAACAGCCATGAGCATTTATACTGTATATTGTACTGTACATTACTGTACGCATCCGAGGGAACGACCCCCTGCCTGACAACAAGATATCAGTAGGTATTCAGGCCTCTGGAGCAGACTCGTATTGTTACAGAAGCTCAGGCCGCAATCTTTTGATAACGGACGTCCTCTAGGAGGATGTCAGGCGGAAAAGCAGGCAGTTGACGTCAGAGACGGTCAAGGGGCTCAGCGGAGCTCGCAAAGCGAGTCGCAAGTATTGCATGGAAAGTCGCAGCTCGGCACCAGTCCGTTGAACTCTGTCGAAACTGTAGAAAAGCTGGTCCTTCAACAAGTCACACGCATCTACATAGTAGGGCTCAATGCTCTGGAACTGATTTTCTGTGATGCAACGCTCGGGATGGTAAAGCCGAGCTCAGCAGTGCAGGCAGTGTTCCAGGATGCGTCTTAGCTGCACGTGGGAGTGAGGACGACAATGGACGACACAGGGCTGTTCCAGCAGGGTTATTAGCCGTTTCCATGATGCCCATTCTGCACCGGATCATTCGGCTTCTTCGGACAATACAACCGGTCGCGTTTGCGTGTCCCCACCCATCCGCCGTGGCACGCAGAAGCACTTTTCCTTCGAAGCGGCTGGTGCGAGCTGCTTCTCTTAGCTCGAACGGTCGCCTGACCCCACGTCCCTTCCGGGGACCGGGGTCAGGGCTTACTACTTCCCTACCATTCGAACTCCAGAAAAGGAGCCGGCGGCCCCCAGCCGAGCTTTCCCGGGGGGGCAAGGGGAAATCCGCGCACTCGAACCATGGCAAGCATGCGGGTGTATCCACCGAACACAAACTCTCAAGCAGAGCCGTGCGAGGATTTCCCATGGCAATCTCCGTAGCGTAACCAGGGGGAACTGGCGCACGGAGGAAACTGCATGCTGTGATCCGTGGGCCTATCCCAACTGTGTTCCACCTCACAACGGGGCACACAAGGGGATTTCCCAGGGTAAAATTGCCGGGTGGGTGGTTGGGAGAAACAGGTCTGTACCTGAGGTCCTGAGCCCAGGGGGGATGATCCCTACCTGGTCCCAAGACCTCTCGAGCCACAGCTCGAACCTGCGACCCTACCGACCCTACCCTTACGAGTGGGGTCGAAGGGAACCTCACCAACAAAAGGGGGCCGATGATTGTAGGGCGCTCGTCCTGCCTGATCTCAGAGGGGCGGTGCCCAGTCCCAACGGCACCCCTCGATAGGCATAATAGACGCCCTCTGCGTCCCTTACCACAGCGAAGCCGCGCTCTTTTTCGTCGATCCTCGCATGTCACGGTGAGGAGCTCCACCTCCTCCCCTGGCCAACAGGGCGCGAGCGCTCGTCACACTTCGCAGCCCCGTTCACACCAAAGCGCACCTGACCTTTTAGCGAGAAGTCCGGCTTCTCCTTGACCAGGGTGGCGATATGTGGCGATCTTGGTGCCGATGGCCCCAGGCCACCTCGCCTAAGTGCGTATACGCTCCGGGTGACCTTCTTGGCCACAGCTCCGCTGGGCGAAGCTGGCGTTTCTTCACCGGGGCACCCCGGACTCTGCGGACCGAGTCCGCATTGTGGCCCGCTCTTTCTCCCTCCGTCACTTTTCCGACTTCTTGAGGGCCGGCTCGGGCAGACGGTGACCTTTATCTTGCGCTTGGCCGGGTCCGTGGGACCAGGGGCGGCAGCAGCAAAGCCGGAGGGACCACCCCACCACCGCCTCCACCGCTCCCCCTAACAGAGGGGGGGAGGCACGGTAAGGAACAGCTCCGCGTCTGGCCTGAGTGCCCGCCGGGACGTGGTCCGGGGCACCGGCAGTGCCTTGCTAGGGCGTGACGATGCGCGCGACGTTATAATGGGAACAGTGCCCAAAGCGCTGTCCACGGCAGAGCGACCCAGGTCAAAGCCTGGCGATCGTAGTGAGCTCGGCCATGACTCGAGAAACAGGTCTGTACCTGAGGTCCTGAGCCCATGGGGGATGACCCCTACCTGGTCCCAAGACCTCTCGAGCCACAGCTCGGTACGACCAATCGTGAGAACTCTGCCTCCGGCTAACACTCGGTTGTTATAATTTGCACTGCGTGCAAGACACGACAAATCCGGATTCGTAGACATGGACACTCAGACACGCCGCACGGACGCTGAACTGCATGGCATTGCTCGTTGTGGCCCCAATACAGCTCCTAGGCCTGGAAGGCCTCGGCAAAAGCCAGTAGGTCAGATCCTTTCGGTTTTTTGTCAAAAGTCTCGTGCTCGCGGCTTTTTTCCTTGGCTAGCTGCGGGTCTTGCACTTCTTGAAGGGAACTGACCGTGAGCGCCCTGGAGGGACCCAGTGCTCACCCTCAGGCTGTGGCAGAAGAGACATGTATAGGCCTGCTGGGCTGCTGGGCAAACGGCTCCTGCTCAAAAGTTGCAGCCATGGGAGGCTTTCTTCGTGTCGCAGTCGAGCCGTCACTTGCCTTGGACCACAGATGGCGCAACCGACAAGTGCTCAATGCCATGGCCTGGCGGTGTGCTCTACTGGCTTCGGATGGCCTACCGGTGTGGGGTGGCTTTTGCAGGCAATGATAATTAAGCTTTTTGTGAGGGGCAATAAATAGGTGTGGCCAAGGGGGTTCGAGGGATGTGGGTACACCGGGGGTCCAGCGGCTATGGCCAACGGGGTTTGAGGGCTTTGGCCAGTGGGTGTGGCCAATGGGGCTTGAAGGCTGTGGCCAATGGGTGTGGCCAGCGGGTGTAGCCTGCAGGTTCTTTTTTTTTTTTTGATGCCTCTTTTCCTTACCGCCTCAAGGTTGGTCCAGAATGCCTATCAGGCTGAGGCATTGGTGCTGGCCGTCTCACACAGGGGATTCACCACCACACCACTAATGCTTAGCCCTCATCCCTTTCCCCGTTCCGTATCGGCCACACCAGCACAAGGGTTCGCTGAGTACAGGCACTTCACTCTGTGTCCTAGGCATCAAGCTGCACAGTCTGGGCCCAACTCACAAGCATAATCACACAAATTCCCACATGCCTGTGCCCCATCGTACTCACACGATCAAGCTTGCTGTCCGTGGTCGTGGTCCAACTTTATGCAACATGACAAGCACACCTAAAGGTCAGCCCGGTGGTATGATGCCAGAAGCTAGGACCACAGATCACCGCGTTGCTACAGAACCATGCTTAATCATCACAGTCACTAGAAAGCGCCCGCTCAGTTGGCGACCTCGGACTAACTGCACCCGGCATGGACTTCATACGCAGCTGGTGGCGACGTCGTAGACAAGCATAGAACACTTCTCGCCCTCCAAGCTCCAGCAACTCGTCATCACCGAGCCGGCCCTCGAGCCATTGTTGGCACACATCCTGCTGCAGGGCTCCGGTCGTTTGGTTCCGGGTTCCTGGCGGCAAAGTTGGCAGCACGCCCCGTTGTAGCAACGACATTCCGTCATGTGGAACGGCCCCTTGGTGTGGCTCGTGACCAGCGGCGCCCATTGGCACCTGGACCCCACTGTCTCGGACACGCGCCACTTCCGCTAGCGTCGCCCTGCCCAAGTCCACCCTGAGCCGCATCACCAGCCTGCTGACCAGCGCCTGCCCTCCGACCGACTGCAGTTCGTCACTGGTTGCTCGGCCCCGACGCCATTCATGGTACAGGTCATTCTCAGTGAGCCGCTTCAGTCGCCTGAAGTTCGCCATCTCCTCTGCCTCGTGCTCCTCGTCCTCTGGCTCGTGCGGCTTCACTTCCTCACATTGGGTGGCTGAGGCATCATACGGCAGCGTGGAGGCTTCATCAGGGTTCTGGGTTCCGGCCACATTCTGCATGTTGGTGCCTGTGTGGACCGCCTCGACCTCGTTCGGTTGGTGCTCCAGCTCCACAGCGTCCACAGTGAGTTCCGCACGGGTGGGCAGCCTGACAAACTGGCGGTCCAGCCAGCTCTCATAGGCAAGTGTCGTTCCCTCGCCCCACCGATCGTCCACCGCCTCATCCGTGATCTCGCCTGCAAGCCACGTTGTGTAGGTCTTCGCGAACTCCGGGTCTTCGAGGTAGTCGTGGGGGTTGCTTCTTGTGGCTCTCCTGTGGCGTCGTTCTCGGCTGCGCTCTTCCCGGGCTTGGTTGGCCTTACGGCGCCATTCCTGCTCCTCCTCCCAGGCTCGGTTTCTGAACCTGTGGAGGGTGGCATAGCCCATACTTCTGATGATGTCCTTGTCATACTCCATGGTCTGCAGCCACCTCTGGTACATGTGCTCCTCGTGTTCCGCCTTGTCGCCACTCTCAGGGTTCCACTTGCTGAGCCGTTCCTCCTCGAGCCTGAGGGCTGTACTCGCTTCTTCATTGGGCACCACCTTGCCTTGGTACAGGTACTCGTCCGTGGTTTCCTCCATGGCGACTTTCATGCGGATCTCGACCTGGTCCCCTCGATCCCTGGCTTCGAAGGTCATCCTCTGGCCCCCTTGCGCCCCGGTCCCAGCTTCCAGTCGTACTCGAACTCGCTTGGGCCTTGGGGGGACCGACCATCCCAGCATTGCCTCTGCCGCTGCGAGGTCGCGCTTTCTGTCTTCCTTGGTTTGCTCCTTCACGTGCCACTCAAAGAGTTCAGCGTCCTCCCTGGCCTGGATCTCCTCCTCGATCTCCCTCTCCGCCAGCTGTGTGTCCACCTGGAGGATCGTTGGCGGGACCTCATGCGAGGAGCTGGCGCCTCCGCATCCCGTGCTGCGGTTCTCCGGCGCACTCGACACGTCACCATGCGCGAGCAAGACGGCTTGGATCGAGTCCTGCTCCTCCCGGTTCACGCGTCCATGCCGGAGAAGTCTCAGGAGGAGGCCCGCTCTCCGGGCTGCACTAGCATCACTGCATTGTTGGAGTTCCTGGTGCAACACCTCCTGTGGCGACAGGGCCGGGCCCGGCGTTTTGAACGCCCCAGTCACCGTTCGCTGCATCATAGCCACCTCTTCAACTGCACCTTCACCTCCCCCTTCGCCATCTGGGCGCCGGTCTTTGTCTTGGTGCGCGTCCTTTGTCCTGGGCATCGGCTTGGCTTTGGGCACCGGCTTTTTGTTCTTGGCCCTGTGGATCTTGACGTTCGCCACTATCTCTCGCAGGGTGTTCCCGAGGTCCCCCAAGATCTCTTCCATGGCCTCCTCGAATTCCTGGAAGCTCGAGGATGTTGTTGTACACAAAACTCGGTACAATGTTCCGCGGCCCGGTCCCTGTTGCTCCAACGGTCAGAGTGGTTTCCTCCGTCAGCCCAAGGAGCAATTGCCACACTTCGTAAGCACTGTGCTCGGTTTCCTCTGCCTCACCCGCGGCCTCACCCGGCAGCTCCGCCGCGTCAGTGGTCGTGTCGTCAATCGGGACCTCGACCATGTCGTCGTCTGGCTCCGGCTGCACTCTTCCCCAAGTGGGCGCCACGGCACCGAGCCAGGCTCCCTTGGTCTCCGGGCAAGTAAAGCTCGGCCCTGTCCAGGGGTCAGCCGGACTGTGCTTTCACTGCGGCAGCTGGGCGGTGTTCGTTCCCAAATCTCCCTGACTGTCGGTTGCCGCACCTTCTTTGATTTGCGCAGCACCCACTTCTTCGCCACGGTTCTGTGTTTAAGGTTTAAATATAACAAACATACCTTGGTGTCTGCCGGTGAACTGCGACGGTTTCTTGAGCACTCCAACTGGCCGTCGGTGAACGACCAGTCCATGATTGTGCAAAGGTCGCAATTATAGTGGTTCCGGAAGGCCTGCAAGCTGTTCACCTTCGCGTCCCTTGGATCTGCTGGATCGAGTTGACCTGGGGGGCAATGGTATCTTGAGCATTGAGAACCATTCTTGTATCAAGGCGCCTGTGATCTCTTGGTAATGATGGTATTCCTCCATCAAACCCACACATATCTAATGCAGAAGCGGATGTAGGAAGACTCTTCTCTGGACTTGAACTGTTGTGCAGTCTCCTTGTCCGCCGCCTTTCACACCAACGAAAACAGGTGGTATACCGCCAGGATCTCCTGTTGTGTAGCACTGGTGAAGTTGCACAAGGGAGGTGCTGTCTGCTTCACCAGAAGCTAAGCAAGGGTCGGTGCTAGCCCCTGCCAATGTCTCTGTGGTGCTTTCCGCATTACCAGGTGCCACGTCACTCTTCTCCGGAGGGCCCAGTGACATCTTGAGGCTGCGCCGAAGGTCTGTGTTTTTTTCATCAAGGTGGACTCAACTGGTCGTCGTCCTGAGACAGCCTGGGGTTCTTTCGCGGTGTTCGGCACAGAGACCCTGGTGTCGAGTCGAAGGAGTCTCACCGTCGAGATGGGTCGCAGCGACCTCCTCTTCCTGCTGTGTCGGCGCCGCCACCTGACTGCGGGCTCGACTTCATCAGCTGTGAGAGTATGTCCAAAGACATCGGATTCGGACTCTCGGCCATGTCATTCCGACTCTCAGCCATGGTGCTGGCACGGGGATGTCTGCAGCGAAATGCTGCAGACTCTGCTCCCAACTTAAGCCGAGACGTTCATATTTCGAAGTTGCCCTTCTCTGTTTTGTAACTGCTTCTGCGCGTCCAAGTATCCTAGCAATGCCAACGGCCGGAACAGCAAAGCACTTTCAGAAGAAATCACTTTTTAGAAAAAAAAAAACCGGAAAGCTTAGAACACATGGGGGTGTAGTTGGCCGTGCAGCCCAACTTAAGCCGAGACGTTCATATTTCGAAGTTGCCCTTCTCTGTTATGTAACTGCTTCTGCGCGTCCAAGTATCCTAGCAATGCCAACGGCCGGAACAGCAAAGCACTTTCAGAAGAAATCACCTTTTAGAAAAAAAACGGAAAGCTTAGAACACATGGGGGTGTAGTTGGCCGTGCAGATTGTTCTCAAGTGCTCGCCAACACCCGGGCAATGATGACTTCCTTTCAAGGATCGTCCTCACATAAATCTCACGTGGGGGCTTTGGGCCACTAGCAGCTTTTGAAGCTCCGTTCTTCACTTCATATAGACCCAGGCGGCCGTCATGGTGTGGGGGCTTCACGAGAAGGGGAGCGACAAGACCAGCTTGAGCTCCTCATCCCTGCTTTACTCTTTACCTCTAAGTCTTGCTACTAGCCCCATGTCAACATATGTCAACCAGTGCACTGGTGCCGTGATGCGTGGGGCACCGCAGGTATTCCAGCAAGGGTCCCTTGTTCTCCAGCCGCCGCTCGTTTGCCTGACACATCTGAACGGCCCCCTCGAAACCAGGCACAGTAGTTTTCCAATCGTGAGCCCCTTCAATGCGAACTTGTTGTCGGAGCCACGGGCATGCCTCGTTGACAACATCTTGCCCGGACTTGCCAGTGGCACATGCCTGGGATATAAGCAGCAAATCCAGAAGGTCAAATATTCTGGGATCACGAGAAGCCACTCAAGAGCACAGACGACCTCTGCACAAGGGCTTTCTATCAAGACCCGCTGATCACTGTCAGCTCGGCTTGTGTTACCATCTGGACACTACAGTAACTACTCTTCATCGGTGTGCAGCATGCGCTACTTTAAGGGAATAGACTTATCTGTCCGTGAAAGCCGGGGTGCCCAATGCGTTGCGAAGTCATAATCCTGCACACACACACACACACACTGCATCATCATGCAACGCAACAAGAAAACCGGTCCCTATCCTGTCTGTCTTGTTGCATCATTAAGACCTCGTGCAGTGCAGTCGAACTCGTCAGTGCCCTGCCATTGTCGACCTTCTTCCTCTCGAATCCGCGTGTTGGTCTCACAGCCTCGAACAGGAAGCGACCGGTCAGCAGCTCGAAGAAGAGACAACCCAGGGACCAGATGTCGGCAGCCTGGCTATCTGTTGTTGAAGCACCAAGCATTGCATTTCGCTGGCCCCGGGGCAGTCGACAGCTGGCAGGCCTTGTTGGTGCCAACGCGCTTCCGTCTGTCGTGCGCCTTCGAGTCACGGCGACTCACCTGGCGATCACTGAACGACTGCACGAAGGGATCCCCCAAAATGTATGCTACAAGCTACACACACACACACACCGGTGCAGTCGGGTTCTGTCATCTCCCGGGAATACAAATATCTACACCGATGAGATCCAGGGCTGCTGCACAGCAGTTCGAAGGGCTACCACTTCTTGCTAATCTGTAACAGGTTTATGCTCCCTTGTGCACAGCTTCACCCTCAGCTGTACAGCGTGTCTTTCAGTTGCTAAAGCCAGAACAATAAAGCTTGGTCGCGAAGTCGAGCTCCAGCATCTCGGGGCCCTTCGCAAGGCTAGCGCTCGATGGAACCGTCCAGCATGTCACAGGTCAAACTGGAAACACAGAGAACACACTGAATCCCATATCGACCCTCATGTTGCCTGCTACTGACGGCACTGCAGAGTGGAAGCCACGTCGTGAGTGCAAGCGTGTGAGGAGGAAGGGTGGGGAGGGAGAGCGAGGGAGTGGGAGTGAGGGAGGGAGGGAGAGGGAGGGAGAGGGAGGGAGAGGGAGGGAGAGGGAGGGAGAGGGAGGGAGAGTGGGGGAGAGGGAGGGAGAGGGAGGGAGAGTGGGGGAGAGGGAGGGAGAGGGAGGGAGAGGAGAGGGAGAGGAGAGGGAGAGGAGAGGGAGGGGGATCTAACAGCACCTACTCAACTCATCCAGAAAGAATTGCAGAATCCGTTTCAATGAAATACCATCATTCGACAGGCTAACACATTTCTGGCTCTTGCAAGACATGTAAATGCAACATCCGTACAGGAATAACAAAGAAAACGAAGTGCTGGACATCGAACGGCAATTCTGTTGTTGCCACTTCAACCGGCGTCATAGAAGACTTCAACACGCATGTGAGCACGTCTCTGTTCATCCCCTTTCAGGCTCCAGGATGCTGACACGACCGCCAGCTGCATGGATTTTGCTGACAAACTTACGCAGCAAGCCGCTCCTCTGCATGCCGGCCCCTTCAACCGTTGTGCCAACACCCGCACAACCCAGAGCTGTCCGGAATCAAAAGCTCCTTAACAAAAGGTGTGGGCCCCTTCTTTTGCAGGGGCACTTCCAGAAGATTGAACATGTTCACACCATGATCGGCAATCCTTAAGCAACATGTGCTATCCAACGAATCTTAACAAGCCTGCCACGCATGCTGCCTCGTGCGACACTTCAAAAGTTTTGCGATTATGAAGGAGGGGGCCGGGGTTGACGTGTTCGCATTGCCACGCAGCATGAAAATGCTGTCAGAAATGCAAACCAGTTGTGGACCCTGGATAGGTGCTGTTCGACCAGTATTGCCATCCATAAGGCAGAAAACTGACCTCAACCTCAGAAAACGAATGCGGCAGGCTGCTGGCTGGACCGCCAATCCTGTACATCCGACCCGGAAATTATAAGAATATCGAGAAGCCCGAACTCCTAAACCTCCACTCCACCCCCACACCTTGATGATCTCTGTCCCCCGATTGCGCAGGTCCAGCTCGAAAGGATTCTGGCGAGTTCTGACTAGTCGGAGGTTCAGGTTTGGCACACAGCAGCAAGACTTCAAGATCATCGCCAAGGGCTGCCACTCCGAACAGAAACGCACATACACAAACGAAACCCTTGCAGAAGCAGTTCGCTCATTCTAGCCTCCATCATGCGCGACTCGCCGAAGTCTACCACCGCTATTCGCGGGACCTGCTGGACAGAGACTTCATGATCCACCCCGCATGAGCCCCTCTATCGGCAAGATCGAGATCTCGATGATGGTCTACATGCTGGTCTACGGATCTTCATGCAACGACGCAAGGTAATTCAGCTCTTTGCCTAGCAGGGACTGCCCGTTGGACCGTCCGACAACCGGGCGAGTGAGACAGGCCACCCCATGCTACTGCCAACAGATGCCGACAGGATTACGAAAAACAACCACACTTCACAACACTGCATATTATCATCAGCCAAAGCAAGCAACATCCACACCTGCAGTAACAGCAACAGCAACAGCTGCTAGTACTAATTCATGCTAATACGTCTGCTGCTACTACTGCTACTACTGCTACTACTACTAGTACATAGTACATAGTACATAGTACATAGTACATAGTACATAGTACATAGTACATAGTGAATACTACATACTACATACTACATACTACATACTACCTACTACCTACTACCTACTACCTACTACCTACTACCTACTACCTACTACCTACTACCTACTACCTACTACCTACTACCTACTACCTACTACCTACTACCTACTACCTACTACAACTACAACTACTACTACTACTACTACTACTAGTGCTACTGCTACTGCTACTGCTACTGCTACTACGACTACTACTGCTACTACTACTACTACCACCATTTACTACTACTACTACTACCACCACCACCACCACGACTACTACTACCCTACACCACTGACTACAGCTACTACTACTACTACTACTACTACTACTACTACTACTACTACTACTAGAACTACCACCACTACTACCACTACCACTACTACTACTACTACTACTACTACTACTACTACTACTACTACTACTCCTGCTACTACTACTACTACCACCACTATTAATACTACTACTACTACTACTACTACTACTACTACTACTGCTGCTACTACTTCTCCTACTACTACTACTACTACTACTACTACTACTACTTCTACTACTACTACTACTACTACTACTGCTACTACTACTACTACTGCTACTGCTACTGCTACTGCTACTACTACTACTGCCTACTGCACTGCTACTGCTACTGCTACTGCTACTGCTACTGCTACTGCTACTGCTACTGCTACTGCTACTGCTACTGCTACTGCTACTGCTACTGCTACTACTGCTACTGCTACTGCTACTGCTACTGCTACTGCTACTGCTACTGCTACTGCTACTGGCTACTGCTACTGCTACTACTACTACTACTACTACTGCTACTGCTACTGCTACTACTACGCTACTACTCTACTACTACTACTACTACTACTACTACTACTACTACTACTACTACTACTACTACTACTACTACTACTACTACTACTACTACTACTACTACGACGACTACTTTTTTCAATTGAACGCTGTGCGAGCGGGCTCTGCACATAGCGGGCGATTGCCGCGGTGCACTCACTTTGGTGTGAAACTGACTCAGACCCTTGAGACTGATTAGCCCAGGTCAAAATGGGGACCTTTGTGAGAGGTCAAGCGGCCTACGAGGGCAGCTAGAGTTTTCGCAGCCAGCAAAATGTCAAGCTCCATTCCGTGAAGGTGTACCTTCAGGCTGTCAAGAACAGATTTGCATGAGGCATGCTTGCTTGGAGAGGTGCAGCAGTGCAGACTGAGCGGATTCTGACCTGTTTTTGCAACTGACAGCGACGGCTGCATGCAGAAAAGCCATCAGTGTCTCGAGGAAAAAACTTGTGTCAGGTCAGACGAAAACAGGCATTGCCTCCGCTGCTAGGTATGCACATTGCCATTGGCACCCTCCGTCAAGGTAGAGACTCATTGATGCCAGGAGCGACTGCCACTAGCACCAGAGTCGGAGCCGCGGTTCCGCCAACCACCCCTCGACCAGGCATCGCCGTCGCGGTGGCGCTTGTCAGTGCGAGACTGCGTCTCTTCACCCGAGCGCTTGTCTCGCTGTTCTCGCTAACGATGCCATTGGTAAGTGGCAGTGTCGCCTTTGTTGTGCTCAATCCTGAGCTTGCGGACAATCTGGCCATCGCGGGGCTGGTAGAAGATGGCACGATTTTGCCCGCCGCTCTTTCTGGAGGTCTGGTCGTAGATGCACTTGAAGGTGGAGGCAACGATCTCGAAGTTCTCGTCCGTCTCGAGCACCGCGTTCATGTCAACGTCGTCCCACATTTTCTGAAAGAGGGCGTGCACGATGCCATAGTACGCCGTGGTGGACTTGAGCTCGGTGTAGCGGTTGTCCTGTCCGATGGAGAGGGTGAATTGGCCATTGGCCCCGACCATAAGCCGCGCCTGCGTGATGTCCAACCAGTTGGCATCCTTGTCGGTGGCGACTTTCAAGATCGGGGCGAAGATCCATGGCCCAAGTGCTCTGAAACGATTGGTCCATAGTAGAACTTGTTCCGAGGCAGTGAGGCCGCCCACAATGGCCTGCTCCTTCATAATGGAGATAGTCGCAAAAGCGTGGACCCACTCCAACATTTGGTCCGATTGGCCTATGTGCACTATCTGATCTCTTTTGGGCAATTGACTCGCCTCCTGCTCCGGAGAAGGATTGGTGCTGTACTCCACCAGCTTGGTCGTGGTGACCGGGCCTTGGTATTTGACCTCAGCGCGTGTGGAGGGGACGTCCACGAGGGGGCTGCTGTAGTCGCGCCCGGGGCTGGAGTTTGCGGGATCTGCTCTGGCACCGAAGCTTTGGTCGCAGGGGCTGCTGTCGACTTTGTCCTGCCAGCTGGGGGGGGAGCGGCCTGGGTAGCAGTTGAGCCCGAGAAGGCATTGAAAGGTGCATCGCGGGTTTGGCTGGAGCCGGCGGACGGCGAAGGCTGCGACGGCTGCCTCGATGGGGCCGGTGAGTCCTTGGTGCCCCTCGTGTCAACCTCCCAGCCTAGTGTGGAGTTGCCTGTGGCTGGCTGCTCCTCCGTCACGCTGGTCTCCGGTCATTGACCCCTCCAGCATCAGTTATGGCGAATGGCCGGTAACCCTGCGAATCTGGCTTTCGAAACTGACGCAGTGGGGACCCATTGGGGAGGCCGATCCGCCGTCGGTGTGGGGGGTGGCGGGGCCTTGCCTGTGGATGTGGCTGAAGGAGGGTTGGCCGGTTCGGCCGGGCGCTGTGA